ATAACACGCAAATGAAAAAATAAATAAATATTACTCAGTTTATGATTGGTGACGGTCGGTGCGGTAGTTTCCGAGATCCGAGTTTTGGACGTATACATCGCGAGTTGTATTATAAAAACATTTATCGAAATGGACAGAGTTCATGTTAGTTTGACAATGAATATTATTATCATGGCGTTTGAAAACTAAAATGTACATCGTTGATAAACAGTTTATTAGATAAAATGCGTCCGTGACATGGGGATATCTCGATCTTATAAGTTATCTGTTAAGTGTTATCATGCACGTCTATTGTTGGAGTATTGAGGTATTGTTTTGTCAGTTCACGTGGTGCTAACGAACACACTAACTTGACTATCTGAGCAACATAACCGTAACTAAACTAATATAGTACAGTGTACATGTACAAATATCATTAGCACATCTCCTAACATTATTTATAATCGAAAGTGCCCTTTGAATTTGGAACTTTCACCTTGCAAGTTGCAGTTGTGTAAATCTCCCATTTTTATTGTGTTAACTTTTTCTATTTATTTGTGAAACTGAGATCAGTAGTATTATTAAATTGGTAAGTTATTTTGATTATGTAATATATATGTTTTGCAACTTGACTTGTTATAACGTTAAAATTTTGTTTGTTTAAACGCAAAAGTACACAATAGACTATGTGCCCTCTGTTCACCACAGTCCACTGTGAATTAAACCCCTGGTTTTAGTGTAAACTTACTGCTGACCCATTAGTAGTAATTTGTATAACCATAACTTGTTAAAAGTTAGACGTACGTGTCTCATATTACTATCCTGTGACTGTGCAACCAATGAAGGATTAATATGTGTCTAAAAGAACCAAATTAATGGTAATATTTAATATTCATTGGGTAAATAATTTTGTTTATAATATATATTCATCTATGTATTATAATTCTAAACTGATAAGAGTGATAGCATTAGGAATAGGGCTGCAACAAACAACTTGTTAAATTATAGGTTTTCATCTCATACTGCTATTATTAGTATTACTACTACTAGTCTTTGACTGTCCAACCATAGGAGGAATAATATGTATTAATTAAAAAATAATTAATTTATGCAAGCATTTTGATTGTTGCTTCAAGATTAAAATAACTGCTACTACTAGTTCTACTTCTAGCTCTGCTTAGAAGTTCTATTTATTATGAGAAAAGTGGTTTCAGAGTAGCAATTTACTATTTATTAGTAGGGTGTTACCTTCATATATTTAAACAAGTCTTGTTAACAGCACTGTTATTATAATAGTAAGTTTTGGAAAGAACGAAATAAGTTATATATGTATATATATGTACCTGTATGTAAACACAGTAAAAAAAAAGTCACACCAATTACTATTTACAGATTAGTGAAGATCCATTTTTTTGTTTTTTCACAGGTATTTTTTTATAAATATTTTGTCATATGGTTCTGTGTTATGTTATACTGTATTTAAGTTGCAATGACCAGAAAATAAGTACAAATGAGAACCATAGAAGTTATTTCACCCCTAATCAAACTAATATATTCCATATATACAGAAATGAAGTTATGTATTGCCACATCATTTTTGTCATGTGCATCAAGTCCTATTCAGGCCTGTTTATGGAGATTTACTCAGTTTGTGGTATTTTCAGATTTCCCTAGAGAGTAATCGAGTAGGATCAACAGAATAACTGGGAAGGGGGGGGGGGGTCATTCAGCTATGAATCAAGGAGTAAATCTGAATTCTCTAACTTTGACTTAGTGTTGTAAAGAAAGAGACCACATACGAGATAAAACAGAGCTATGCAACCTTTACTGGATGCCAAACATAATAAAGATGAGTGTATTAATAATACACAAGGGGACAGCACTTTACTGGAGTGAAGAACTGTGTTGTGTATAGAACTCTTTTGAATAACCTTAAGAATTATTTGATAGTGAGAGAACATAGATTATATACACAAAACAATAGTGCTATTCTTATCAGGATGTATGTACTACTCATATTATTGCCAGTCATTTCCCATTAAAAGTGCTAACTTACCAACCAGTGGAAAAGATTCTGCCTACTTTTAACTAGTATGTTCAATTTGACAGAAATGTTTCCCACAAGAAGACACATGTGATATCAAAAGGAAATGACCCAGAACAATAGGTAGTAGAGTGAAGGAACTTAGCTACTTACTTGACCTACTTTCTATAGTTAAAGTTATATATATAAATATGCAAGAAAATTTTGAATACTTTTTTGAGAACTTTAGATTCAAATAAACGGTGTAGAAAACATCTATTATTCCTGCATACTAAATCTTCCCATTTAGTCTTCAGGTTTTCTCTAATTATATTTGCATTCCAGTTAAATAAATTCATACATTGATCAAGGAATCGGTTTAACTTGCTCTCACCCCTGTGAAGTAGAAAAAAATGGAAAGCCTATCACAAAATATTGCAAATGACAACTTAAGAACAAATTAAAACATACAATCAAACTGAATACATTACATAAACATGTGAAATTCTACAGTAAAGTGAATAAATAAACTTATAAAATGGCTGTAGGGAAGGAGGAAAACAAGAAAAAAACAAATTGTAATGTTTCAACAAGTGTAATTGTCATCATGGGTGAATATTTTAGAAATACATTTGAAAGTCAGTTTAAGTGAACCAGTCAAGAAACAGCAGAAGTACCATTGGTGAATAAATATAGTGGGATATTTGTTTGTAGAAGGATTTTTATTTCTTATTAATAAGAGTATCCTTGATCTTTCTTTTTCAGCTGGTGCTTTCCTTAGAAATAATGTGAGAGATGTTGTGACCAGAGTCATATTCAGAGCTGGGTGAATTAATTGATATAATTGACTACATTGGTGATTACATTGGTTAGTGTCTTATGAGCTAATTAATTAAACAAAATTAAAATTTAATTGATTAACCAAATGTGCACAGGCTCAGTTTGTTGGACTGACTCCATATTGGAGAAGGAATGTTGCCTATAATTCTAAATTTATTCCTTGTATCTATATGACGGGTGACCAGCTTTTAGTGAAATGTATAAGTCTGTTGTACACAAGAAAACAGATGAATTACTAAAGTATTTGTACTGAAGATATGCCTGTGAGTTGACAACATCAGAATGCAGTATGATGTTCATGTAAAGAAACAAAATAGTTTTTTTTCCTAGAGGTTATGCAAATGCATAACCTCTAGAATCTCCAAAATGCATACTTACAGATTTTTTCAGTATTGTTGTATATTGTGTTTAGTATTTAATCTCCAACACCTGTTGCTAAATCAGTGGTGTAGGGTTAAATGAATAGTTCATAATTCTGGTATCAAACACATACCATGTTGAATAGAACATGTAAAATAAACATAAAAATGTAAAAAGTCGTGTCATGTGCACTTTGACGTAACACAGGTTAATGTCACAAAAATAATCAACTAATCGAAATTGGTGTTTCCAGTTATTCCAACAATCAATTAATTGAAATTATGATTATATGGATTGTCATGAAAATAATCAACTAATGAAAATTAGTTTCCGGTCATTTACTGTTTTTGATGATTTCAACCATCCAAGTTATCAAAATATTGCCATTATGTTTGTTTGTTGTTTACTACAAAACTACATGATCAGATGTTGATATTGTTCTTACGCAGAAATGCATTTTCCATAGATACTCACCTCACATACCTTCCCTCCTGTCCTCCTCACTTCCAATGCATTTTCTTCTTTCCTGATTTAAGAATAAATTATTGGCAAGTGCTTAGGGGAGTTACTTCACAAGGAAATTGTCACACTCATATTGTGGAGGACTATTGTTGTATAATGATGTCATCATGGACTAGTGCATTTCATGTTAAAGACATGCATTTTAGGTGAAAATTAGCTCATGGTTAATTGTATGAAACTTTTATAGGCAGATGCATGAGGGATAAAATTATTCTGTGTGAAGAGGTATCTATTGAAAATTCATATTCAGGTAAGGAAAATGTTAAATTGGCATCTCTAGGTCAAAAGTTACTCCCTCAGACAACAAGCTAAGTTAAAAGTAGCATAAATATTTCATATAAGCATCCACCATATACTATATTTTACTTTAAATTAATTCAGATTAACAGTACATATATGCAAAACATCATTAAATAAACCATTTCACAGTTTTGGAATTAATGGAGAAGTAATTCGACTGAACACAGTAACTCTTTAGGTTGCATTTCAAATAATGAACAGAAGGCTTATAACTACATAAATTTTCACTGAGAGATATCTGATATTCGTATTCACGCAGTTAGAATAATTCCTGTTTATTACCACAATCAGTATTTTACCAATTGGTAAAATTTTTTATCCACTTTTAACATATTCAGCAGAATTATAACAATTTACTTTTAAGTCAGTCTTTAAAAGAACTTTCATCAATTTAAGATACATAACATTATCCAAGGTAGCCTCATCTAGAGCTGAGCAATTAGTGGAATTTGCTAATCAAGTTATTATTGGGCTCAACTATCAACTAATCAGTTATTCTCGCTGGAGACTTCGATAGCTGGAATAATCAAAAATAAAAATAATCAGAAACATGAAATTTGACTTAGTTGATTATGAATCATAACACTGATTAACCTAAACAACCTTGAATTAATTGACAATAATGAGAAATCATAATGCCAATATTTTGCATATTCTTATTACATGTTACAGCTTTTACTGTAAGGAAGATTAATTTTTTAGAACAGGTTCAACATTTTTATCACTGGTGCGATCATTCTTAAGTACCTTGTAACAAAATAATGCTTAAGCAGTAAGTAAACTTAAAAAGAAACTAATATTTTTCTTAGTTGATTATTTTCACAAAATTAACCAATTTAATCGTAATTTCCATAAAATGCTAAGTTTCTGTAACACTAATCAATGAAATTGATGCAAATAAATAACTGAATTAATTGCCCAGTTCTATTTATAATCATCATTTAAACAGGACTCAGTAATCATAATGACATTTAAAATGTAAAACACCCAAATCTCGAATTCTAGCTACTTATTACAAAGATTTCAAATAGTAAAAATATTTGAAACTTCTCTGTCAGTGTATTTAACTATTTATCAAGTGTTTTTGGAAATCTTTTTGTATGATCCCTCTAGATCAGTAAGCTTCACTAATCTTTGTCTAAACTTATTTTAAACAGTTTGTAATAAAACAACTGAGTGCACCACTATATTTCCCAGTCTGCTTAATTGAAGCCTAGTATATGTAAAGCTTTCTCACTGATTTTTCACCTTACCTTCTGATCCAGACATATTCCAAGTAATCATTTCATCATTTTTAATCTGTTTAAGATTTCTTGACAGCAAATGACACCTTCTAAGGCTCCTGAAAGAGTTACATTGTCCTTGACAGTTCCTATAAGATGATGCGTAACCTCTTCTGACATATAGTTTTCCTGATTCATTGCTGTCCTCTATATGTGAACTTTTTAGTTCACTACTAGCCTTAAGGCTCCTACCTAAACTTGCATGTTTTCATGTGATATTGTTGCATTGTTTCATGCAAATGAACATGTGAACCTTCCATCAATAGGATTGTGACACACCCTCCTACTGATTGTTCAGTAATCATTTCTCCATTTGGCACTTGTGTGTAAAGATGTGTCTTTTTTTTGCTCATGAGCCTTTGTGGCAGAATCTACAAAAAAAATCAACTGTTGTGGAAATATTAAGTTCGGATTTTAGTTGTCAAAAATTTCTGCAGCTGCAGATTTTGTGGTTTTTTTATTTCCACATTTTGAATTCACAGTAACTTTCATTTTGTCTGTTGTGGGACAACAAGATGTTGATTACACTACACAAAGAACTAAAATAACATCATGTTCCTCTTTCTTTGTTGAAGAAGTGATGGCTGTTGTGTGATGGGAGATGGAGTCTTTCATGTGGCCCGGACCCTCTGAACCTGTTAGCCTTCTCCAATGTATCTTATTCATGATGAAGGTGATTTTGATGAGTTTTTTCCCACCATCTTCCTCTGCCAAATCTCATACCAATTCTATCAAGGATCTACTTAGGCCTTTTAATCATTACTGGACATGTTTCTTCTTTATCATTTCTGAATACATTCCCTGCTTCTGTCTTTTTTATGTTCTCCTCCTCCATCTCCAGATATTCAAGTCTGTATTGAACAGTTTTGTTCTCAACTTCACTCTGGTGTCTTGTCCTCCTTGTCTGGTTGCCCCATGTGCCTTTGCTTGAATGACTGTATTACCTTTTTTAGACTCCTTGACTCTGTAGTCTCTTTTTCAGGCTTAGGGCCAGATCCTTTATTTTCTGTTCGATTTTCTCAAGTCCAAATTTCACACCTTTGTCGTACCCTTACTACCCTGTTGTGTTATTTTTCCTCTTTTCCCTTTCTTTTCGAAGCAATCCACTGTGCCCTTATGTGATTTTTAGTGGATACACATTTCCTTATCTTTTCTACATTGGTGCATTCTTTTTCTTTGGCCTTGTTTGTCCCTTCTGACTTGGTTACTTTATTGCTGGAATTTGTTGGAGAGGGATGCCCTTCTTGCTCAAATATGTTTGCCTTTCTCTTATCTCAAGGATCTTTGTCTGGTTCCTTTTTTCCCCAGGTGGAGTAACTTATTTTCTATAGTCACGATTGAAATCACACATCAAAATTTTTGTTTTTCTTGTCTTTCCATGTTTTCTGTCTCTCCATAGATTTTTCGTTTATCTTTATAATCTCCCATTTTTCATTTCTCCTCTCCCTGCCCTCTTCTCCAATTCCTCTGCGTTCATATGTTTTTTTTTCTGTTGTTGGCACTGAAAATCTTGTTGGTAACTATTCTATATGATAAGGGCTATTAGGGGCTCATTTGTTTTACGTTTCTGATCTGGGGCTTCCATTTGTGGCTGACCATGTGCTACAAGTTATATCAGAGGGTCTTACTCTTTGTTTTTTCCTCTCCTCCTCCAGTTCTCATGTTCCTGTTTCCTTTCCTCTTTCACATGATTCAGTGTCTCATCAGCATCTTTCAGTGGTAGTTTCAGACATGTTGGCCAAAGACACTATTATATGGATTTCTCATCATTCTCCAGGATTTTACTCCATCCTACAAGGACTCTTACAAAAATTATTTTCTCCTTTTTTGGGAGGTGGCTTGTTTTGGTTGGTGGGTCATGCTAAAATAGTCTCATCTCACACTCACTTATTATGTGGTTCACATGGGTGTGTTCTTCATTTCTCATCTCTGCAGAGCTCAGCCTTCTCTGCTTCATTGGTACATTATGGTGAGTTTGGTTTCAACAACTCTATCCTATCCTTTTCTTCTTACATGGAAAGTTCCTTCCCAGCTTCCATAGCACCCCTTATTCCCTTGGGACATACTCACATGCATTTTTTGCAATGCACTTTGTGCATTCTATGGAGTCTTTTGGGATCCCTTGTTTTCTCTTATCTATCTTCCCCCTTCCTTGTATGACTGTTTCACCTGGTAGGTTGACAGAACCAATACTACAAAATGTGTTCCTCTTCCTTTCTCATGTCTGGATCTTCATCTTTTACAGATGCTTCCCTGATGGAGTGGGGCACTTGCCTTGACTCCTTTGAGGCTTTGTATCAATTGAAACTGGAGGAATTGACCCTTCATGTCAACCACCTGGAGCTCTTAAAAGTTTGTCAGGCTTTGTATCATTTCTGTAGTAGGTGGCCATTTGGTAATGATTCATACAGACAACTCCTGTATGGTATCCTATATCTGTCACAAGGGGGCACTCAGTTGCTCTTTGTTTCAGAATCTTCAACCTCTTATACTGAGCCCCCTCTCTGCATGTCCACCTTTTGGGCTGTCATGTTCTGGGTGCCCTCAATCTTGTTGTGGATTGTCTCTTGTGTCTAGATAAGATTTTTCTCGTGGAATAGTCTTTCAGTTCTTATGTTTTCAACAGGTGTGCTCTTGTCTGGCACTCCTCACATCGATGCTCTAACCACTTACTAGAATACTAAGCTTCCCCTCTTCTGGTCTCCTGTTTCTCATCCAGTAGCTCTAGTGGGGATGAATTTAGTCAGGACTGGTCCAACCACTTCCTTTAGGTTTTCCCCCTACTCATTTCCTCCCTAGTGTTTACTATCTCATTCAGGCAATTAATTTCCAGTCCTTCTAGCAGCACTCTACTGGCTGGCTCCTTTGTTGTTTCTTTTGTTGAACTTTCTACCATTCTCCCACTCTCTTCTTCTTCAGCCTTGTACTTCACTCTTTCATCTAGACTTGTCATCACTCTGACTTCATGTGTGGAATTTGTCTGGTCTTTGCATGCTGTTTGGGACTGTTTTTACATCTAGCCTCCCTCCATTCCCTTTCTGTTTGCCTGTCCACCATCATGGTGTATCAGCAAAAGTGGCATAATTTTTCCCATTGATCACTATGCCATTCTTTTTCTCCTTCTTGTCCTACTGTTCCTCATTTGTCTGTACTTCACTGGTCTCTTTGACAAGGCTCATCAGTTTTGATTATTGCTGGTTGCCAGGTGTTTTTTTATTCTTCTACTTTCTGATTTTCCTCTACTGTTGTTTTTTCCCATCCTGGTTCTTACTATGCTCTTTCATTCCTTTCACCTCCATTGCTCTTCCCATCCTTTCTAGTCTACCTGACTGGGACCTTTATGTTGTTCTCATTGCTCTTACCCTACCTCACTGGACCCTAGGCTTTCTGTTCCTTATAACATTTTGCCCTTAAAGCCTATTTCCTTATCCTTTTGCCTGTAGTCATGAACATTCTGACATGTATGCTATTGATTATTTACACATTCTTTTTTATCACTACTATGCCTGCCTGATTGTGCTTTTCTTCCTTAACTGTATGTAGCACGTAAGAGGAACTGTGCATCCATACCTTTCTGTCTCTACTGTTTTTCGTTTATCTTCTTGCTTAGATCCTGGTTGCTTCCTCTGTCTTCTCCATGCACTCCATTGTTATTTGGCACTCACTTCTCCCTTTTGTGGTGCCCAGTCTGGTCTTTTCATTCCTTGGATTACTTCTTCTACTCGTGATCCTTCTCCCATTACTCCCTCTGGATGGCTTTGTCAGTTCATCCTATTTAATGTATTTATCATTGGATTGGGATTTACTTTGATGATTTCATATGTCCTTCCATCAAATTCTTATGCCTTACAGGATCCCACTCAGTGGCAAGTGTTACCTGCAAAGGTATACTTAATCAAAATACACACAGTGTAGTGGCATCATGACCATGATTTGAAGTGTTCCACAAGACCACTGGGGTATCCTTGCAGGGCTCATTATACTAAACAAGGTCTGATCCAGATTGTACCTGATCATGGACTATCATGATTAAATCAGACAGGGGATTCCTGCCCATTCTCCATGTCTAGTTAAGAACCTAATAGTGGCTTGCCTTTAAAAATTGGGTTTTCATGGTCACCTGTTGCACTGTCTTATGGTGATTTACTCCTCCAGGCTCCCCATCATGCTTCCATCCCCCTTTTTTCTCAGTAGAGCATGGAAGTCCTTGCTACATTTCTGTATCGTAGTATGAATTTATGTGATTTTTAATGAGATCTGGTGTTTTTTACATAAGTTTATGTGGTTTCTATAATTCGCTATTGGGTTGGTGGACCATAAACACTGCCTCCTGAGTGTGACCAATTCCACTCAGTAGAGATTAGAGCAGTGATTTTTCTGTCCATGTAGTACAGTTCACTCCTTCAGCTGATTTCCCCCATCCTACCACTGCCCAGATGTCGGGTTCCTAGATGTTCTGATCTTGGATTGGTGCAGGACCAACCAACATAAGCCCTTATTTATTTGCAGTTTGGATAATAACTTCCCATTCTGCCTCACCGAGTTTGAGGTAAAGATAATAGGGACCCTCTTCCTACCATGGCTTTGAAAACACATTCATAGTGGCACCTGTTTTTGGTCTGTAGTTGGCTCACAATGTATGGTCTGATACACCCTAGCTATACTATGTATATATCACTGCTGTGAGGCTTATGCAGGTTCTGGACTATACTTGTGTTTTCCACTCACTCTAGCAACAGACAAGGTGCAGTCTCTCATGGGTGTGCCACTATACTCTCCTATGGTATAGGGTGTATTATTTCATGGGTTATCTTTGGGTGCTTCCTGAAGGGAGCTTATTTAGGTAAATGTTGCACCAGGCCCTCCATCATTTCAATGTGGGATTCTAGCTATATGTGAGAGGATGTTATTTATCATATCAGAGTTTGACATTTTTCAACACTGAAAATGTATGTCCAATAGATACTCAACTCCATTCCCACTTCTAGTGCATCATGTCTTGCCTAATCTCGAAGTGTTGATTGAATAATCAGTTTAGAGGGAGTCAGCTGTACTAGAATGGTGTATTGCACTCCTACTGGAGAAGAGTTGTCACATACTCATTTGCACATACCAATGTAGCACTATCATGTGGCAATGTGTGAGTTTAGAAGGGAGCCTCAAGGCTAGTGATGAGTGAGAAAGTTCACTTATAGAAGGCAGCACTGAATCAGGAAAGCTATATTTGAGAGGGATAACTATCAGAAATACATTTTCAGTGTTGGAAAATGTTGACTTTCTTTCATTCAAACTATAAAATAGATCTTTATATCTGACAAATAACTCCAGAGATTCACCATTATTAATATCATTTATAACAAATGCACTGCAAAAAGTGATTTTATTTAGTTCTTACAACTAAATTGTATGACATATATCCTCTCTACAACATCCTTAAATTTAGCACTAAGTAGACAGTCTTTAACTTTTTTTATTGTTATGCTTGTAAGTTACCAGTATACCTTATACTTTGTTTTACCAGCAGTTTGTTTTTGCTGAAAAATCATATGTAAAAAATGGCTACAAAATCAAATGCAGTTGATGAAGAGAAACAGCCTCTTTTGGGGAAAAAAAGTCAAACAAGATCAGGCCAGAGCTATGACACAACAAATAAAAGGTAAAGTCTCACAATTACTTTTACTGTGTAAAATTTGGGAAATTAGATTTGGTAGTGTTAATGCTCTAAAATGTTTTAACTGTGTGACCTTATATTGTTTAAAAAAAATTGTGGAGCATTTTCTTTAAGAAAAAGTTTTCTATTAATCACTGTGAAGCTTAAGATTGATGTTAATATATATATAGAAAAAGAAAAGTTAAGTATAATCTTTTTAATTCCCTTTCTTTTTTGGATGTACGTGGATACTCAGTATATTGTTTTAAGTTAAAATTTTATAATAAATTTATATACTTACAATTAAACTATTTAATTTTGATGAACATATGAAAAACAACTAAAATGAAATAGATTATAATGATTGTAATTTGATGATAGTATTTAACAATATATATATATATATTTATTTATTTAAAATTTAGTTTTAACAGTTTTATTAAGTCTTCAAGTCAAAGTTTGGCAGTCATGACTTTTCACTCTTTCCTACTTTCAGCCTTTCTCTAGATCTTCTTATAACTATCTTAGTGTCATTTTGAAAATTTTCCTCTACCTTCCTCTCAGTTTTATTTCTTTAATACTGCCTTTAGTAATATTAAGAGACATCTCTCTACCTGAACTTCTGTACACATGCCCAGCAAACATCATATTTCTCTTAACAATAGTTTGAACCAAACTCAGCCAGAATATTTATATTTGTTGCTGTACTTGCTCAACTGAATTTTAACATCATCCTATGATAATCTCACATTTCAAAAGCATTTATTATGTTAATCACCTCCTTTGTCATTGTCCAATCTTTGCATTCAAACATAAAAACAGGAGTATACATATAATGACCTTTCCATTGTTTTAATGTTAGTATTCATCATTAGTATTTTCTTTGTTGTCCCAAAGTGTACTCTTGATGATCTAACTCATTATTTAAACTCTTTAATGCATTTTCTATTCTTTGTTATCTAACTTCCAAAACATTTGTAGTTCTTCGTGTGTATTAGATGTTTTCTTACTTTCTTACCATATCATAACATGTACCTCGTAGAACTGGGTGAGTAGTGGTATTTGCTAACTGATTAATTGACATCCCCATTAATCAGTTACATTTGATTAATTAATCTGTACATTGCTCTTCAAAATATAGCAAGTACAAGCAAAAAAATGAACAAAAAATGTTGGCTAGAGATGCTACTGGCTAGTTGGCTTCCCTTTATCTGTAGTTCAAGAAAAAGAAGGGAAAAAAAGGGTTGGCCCACTGTCAGTGGATGTTTCCAGCAATTTTTTTTTTTCCTTCTAGTCAGCAGTTTCAAATTAGTGACAGATAACCTTTGTAGCTTTACCATAATAAAGATAAGGCAATCATATTTGGTGGCAATTAGAATCAAACCCAAGACAGTTGAGTTAATCGTAAATTTGATTAATCAGTCAGTTTACATGAAATTAATAAATTAAATTGCCAAGCTCTAATTAGGTGCCATTTCATAATTATTGTATATTGTATGTATACTTCTGATCATGTTCTGGAGCTCTTTTTTCAGTTTTTGTAAGTATTGGAGATAACATACAACCTTGTTTTACATCCCTCTTTACTTTAAAAGCTTTGAGATTCCACCATGAATTCTAATTCTTGGTATCTGATACCAATAGATATTTATAAAGAATCAAAGTTCAGCCTTGAGGGTACCCACCATAATCAAAATGTGGATAAATTTTCCATGTTGTACTTAGTCAACTGCTTTCTGATTATCAATAAAGCAGACAAAAGATGAATTTCAGTAATGTTGTTTATAGTTAAAATAAAAGATTAAAAATATAAAGTGAATAAGTTGAATTGAATAATCAGTTGAATACCTTTATTTGTTTCTGAAAATCAAAATTATTTAAAATATGCTGTAGTAGGCGAGTGAACCAAGATTCTTCTCTATTTCTTTAACCATATTAGAGATAATCACCAAACGTTGGACGAACCCAAGCCCAAAGTATCCCTTAGAGCCCTTGTAAGTATATTTTTTAAAAACATATGGTTGATTTTTATAATTTTATGAAATTATTGCTAGACATTTGACAGATAGATATTGATTATTTGTTTTTTAACAAGTTCTTAATGTTAGCAGTAGTTCTAAAAATTATTCAAGATTGTAAGAATTATGCACTTGTTTGTGTTCCCCAAGCTTTCAAGATGTTGAGTAAGCAGATAGTTCTTTATATTGCAGTTCCTGCTTAACTTTGTATGTATTTAAATTTGGTTCATTATGTGTAATTAATAATTAAGTCATGTAGTATTTGCTAAGAGTTGATAACTGTCATTACAGTATTTTAAGCTACTTTTATTTCAGTTGAATTTTGATGCTTGAATGTAAAGTACATAGTAGGTTTTATTTTCACTAGCTTGATCTTATAATATTTTTTCATTTTTTATTCCTAGTTCCGCTACGCTTCTTTATTGGACAAATTTCTTATTACCCTTGGATCCTTGTTTGCCTTTGTTCATGGGGCAGGATGGCCAATGCTGGCCTTGATTTTTGGCGAAATGACCAATACTTTTGTACAGCAAGCCCAGTCAGGATTTCTAGTGTCTGAGAATCAAAGTTTAGAATCTATCATTAGCTCAACTCTGCTTCCTCAGACTTTTCAAACAATGGTGCCAGATGTTTTACCAAAAACTATCTTAAGAAGCAAGAGCACTCAACTTGCATCCTCAACCAACAGAAGTCTCATCACAACTGTATTACCCATTGAATATAATACCTCATTATTTCATAAAAATTATAGTGCCATCTTTACTAACAGATCTATTCCTGTTACAGAAACCATGATTATTTATTTAGATGATTTGCAAACTTTAAAAAATGTAAATAGTTCACAAGATCCACTTGTTCCTGAATTCAACAAGACAGATAATTCTTCAAGTAATATCACCAGGTCAGCTGTAACTAGTTTACTTAAAGCAGTTATGGCAACGTTTGCCCCAGGAGGATTTTCAAGTTTTGATTCAATCCCTTCAGATGTGTTTGAATCTATGATGAACCAGTATTCTCTCTATTATGTGTACATTGGAATAGCTGTATTTGTTGCTTCTTATTGCCAGGTGAGTCTAAAAATTATAACAAATTATTTATGATTGCAAACCATAACTAGAAAGAAAATTTTAAAGTAACTCATTTTTCTGTGCCTTCTTTGATTTTGTTAATTACTGAGATGAATTTTATTATTAGAAGTAGCAGAACTTGTGTATTTATTTGTTGAGCCTTTCTTTGTTTAGTTTGAACTCATGCTGTCAATTAACCCTCTCTTCGTGAGCATCATTTACTGCGTATGTCACGAGGTTTCAGTGACTTACATTTAAAATTTTATTAAACTACTTTTTGTTTATGTCCTGCCAATTAGTATAGCATAAAACCATAGCTAATTATCCACATTTTGATAGTATATAAGTTTTAAGTTCTTAATTTTATAAGGTAATATTTTAAATAATCCTGAATTTCCCCTAGTGTGAGAAATGTGACATTTTCTCTAGGCATCCTGTCTTCTCTATTTTATTCACCAGTTAATTTAATGTAAATTACCCACAATAAAATCATCATTCCTCAGACAAACCATAATTTTTACAGCTTTCAAATAGAAAATTAGACTCCACTTACCACACCCACCTGTCATATCCTCTCTTTCAGGATTTTTTTAATAGTTCTCTCTTATGTTTAAAAATATATTGTTTATAACCAATAGAAATCCAAGATTTTCATCTATCAAATGATGTGTTATATTACATAGTTTTCTGAATAGAGAATTGTCAATTTCT